TTAAATTTCTTGGTTAAATTTTTCCCTTGGTGGAAACACACACACGCAGGCACATCTACTACGATGTATATATTTTTAATGGATTTGAAACAATTATTGTTTTTTTCTTTTGTTGTTGTTTCTTTGCTTTTTCAGGATGTAATTAAATTCATTATTTTAAAGAACAAGGACATATTTTTTGTTATTATAATGGCTCGGCAACATTTTATTTTCACTGTTTTTTTCACAGTTGCACCTGAAAATAACATCAATTCTGGCAGGTTTGTTTGTACTTTGTTATGATGGTATTCCGTTTGCTATTCCTGTATTATTTTGTTATTTATTTTCTTCGGTTTCTTCATTCCAACTGGCCGACACGAATGACGAATAACTATTGTAAGGATAATACGACGACGAATTTGTGTTTGGCTCTCTCCTAAGGGTAACAAACTTCTGTGTGTACGATGGGCAAAGGACCTATTGACAATAACAAATGTGGCAAATTAGTCAACGACGTAACGTGCCCAGTGAACAGCTGTTTTGGGTTTTGGATGTAATTACATGTAGAAAAATATTTGCTTTTATGAAAATGAGTTAGTTAAAATGACTATTTATGGAAATGTTGGGTGTTTTTGTTACTCCGTTTCCGTACTTTTTTAATAGTAAAACTCTGGAACGAAAAACTAGTAAAACCTTCAAAATCAACACAACAGTCAATCAGAGTATAGCATTCCGGGACAAGATTTTTACTCGGCCAAATTTCTAGAGTAAATAGTTCAAAAAGAGAACACACATTTGTTGTTTTCTAAAACTTGACTAAAAGTTTTACATACTAGTTTTGTGGGTACAGAAACAGATTTCGAGTAAAATAATGCAAAATGTATAAAAATTGTAGATTCTTTAAGGTTCTGGAACTATAACTATTGTAAAACTTGGGCTCGAGAGGAATATATAGTATATTCATATGTATGATTCCTTAAGCTTCTTTTCCCCTCCACTTTTTTTAGCAACAGTTAAGTAGAGTGCAGTGGATTGGGGTTCTTGTTTGGAATCTGTTATGTTAGGGGTTTGCATTAAATTTCATTATGTTGAATTTTTGTTTTTTTTTCTGTTATGTATTTTTAATTTATTTAGTTTATTCTTTGTTTGGATTTTTATTTTTTTCATATATAAGTTAATATAAGTTATTGGCCATGCTGGCTTTTTTATATTACATTGTATGAAATAAATGAAATGAAATGAAAAAAAACCAATGGAACAATAACGAGCAAAATAAATATTTTATAAACAAGCCAAAATGAGCCTTTATAGACGAGCTGAAGTGCGTCTTTATAGACGAGCAGAAGGGAGTTTTTATAGAAGAGCAGAAAGGAGTCTTTATAGAAGAGCAGAAGGGAGACTTTATAGACGAGCTGAAGGTAGTCACGTCTGTAGGTGCTGAAGTTAGGCGAGCTGAAGGGGGTCTTTATAGACGAGCAGAAGGGAGTCTGTATTGAGCTGAAGTGAGTCTTCATAGACGAGCTGAAAGTAGTTAGACTAATAGAAGAGTGGCGAACAAAAGGGAGTCATTACCTAGTTGAAGTGAGTCTTTATAGACGATCAGAAGAGCCTTTATTGACGCAGATTGGAGTTTTAATGAACAACGAAGTCTTTTTAGACGACGGAAGTCAGTCTTTATTGAGCTGAAGTGAGTCTTTATAGCAGAAGAGAGTCGGTATAGACGATCAGAAGGAAGTCTTTATAAAAGAGCAGAATGGAGTTTTAAGGCGAGCAGTGCGCTTTTATAGGATAACCATTGTACAGAAGTAGTGTTTTATGTATGCCTTCATAAAACAAGTAAGAATGTGTCAGTCGGTGTTGCCGACAGATATATACCATCAGCCTATGGTTTGAGGAGTTCTTCGGAATTCAACGAATGTTTTATTATTTGCTTTATATAAGGTATGTTTTTCTCAAAGAGGTTTCAGATTTAATGTTGATCTAATTGGTTATTCTATTTGATTAAATTTAATAAAATTTACAGATTTATAAAATACTGACCTTTTTTGGGGAGAACTTTATCTAGTTGTTGTAAAGATAGTAGATTGTGCAAAATTTTTGTTCAAATCGGACATTATTTTCGCCCAATATGGGATTTATAATTGTTGAAATGTTTGACCAATAGGTCCGATCTTCGGACATCACCTAAGCTTTGTAAAGGTAATACGTTGTTCAATGTTTTGTTCAAATCGGATAGTCCGTTCGCATGATATTATAAAATTACTTTTTTGCACAATTTTGACCATTTTATGGGTGAGTGAATGAATGGGTCTCATCCTCGAACTTGGTCTAGGCTTGTTAGAAGTAATAGGTTGTGTTAAGTTTGTTTCAAATTAAACTTGAATATTGAATTTATAAATATGGAACATGTTGACCATTTGTGGGGGAGGTACCAGAAGGAATGGACCAATGCGTTCCATCTTCGGACTTGATCTAGGCTTGGTAAAGATAATAGGTTGTGCAAGGTTTGGTTCAAATCGGATAGTCCGTTCGCATGATATTATAAAATTAATTTTTTCCACAATTTGTATCATTTTGTGGGGGAGTTACCAGAAGGAGTGGGCCGATATTCTCCATCTTCGAACTTGAATTAAGTTTGGAAGAAATATTAAGATGTGATTATTAAGATCGATTATTCCCTTCGAAAGTTATTGTGCGCACCAGCCGGCCAGACATTCGTAGATCGACCCCAAATTTTCTCAAAAGGATGTAAAACCAATATTTCGATGAAGCACATTTTTACCGTATCAAAATGTATATACCCTCATTAGCCTTAAGGCTGAGGGTATAAATAGTTACAACATAGGTAAAGTGCTCAAGACAGGTAAAGTTAAAGAGCCTGCAAACCATCTTTTAATGCAGTAAATAACATTCTACACCTTTAACCCTTTGAGCCCCGAATTTTTTTCCGCAATCTTAGAACAAATATTTGTTCACAAATTTAATGCAACTTTCCTAAATAGGATATGCACAAAATTTGACATCGATATATCCTGCATTCCAATATCAAGAAAACCAAATGCAAAATCTCAGAAAAATCATTTTACATTATTCTCTATATTCAATTTTACAAGAATCAAAAACAATTCTGAGGATAGAATTTGTACAATTTGAATACGAAGCGATTTAAATAATTTGGACTGTATACACAAATTAGTACTGTACACAAATTTACCCTCTTCTCTATATTGAAAAGCTCATAACTTTGCTATAAAATATAAGCTCCAAAACATTTTGTTGCCTGTGGGCAACATTGGGCCACAAAGGGTTAAGAGGATAAAGATGTAGAACCTGTTGATGAGATCCCGTGCGGTATTGTCACTTCTGTATGGTTCCAAACTTCGGAACTGGAAAAACTTCGATCAACACAGAAGCTGAATAGCAGAAGACGAGTTCCTGAGGAGATTCTAATGTCCTCTCGTGAACGGAATGGAGCAAATCCACTTCCGTTTTCCATTCCATGAGTTGTATTTATACAATAGGTTCGCTACAGAATCTCCTTTTAAATTTGAAACATTTCGAGAGTGATATGTATTCGATTGGGGATTTATGACATGCATTTGAAAGTAGCTTTCCACACGAATTACTTAAAATAATCTTTGTAAAATAATAATAGTTTTAGACGCCCATTTACCTGGAATTATGCACTTCTACTAAATAATGTATCATTCTAATCAGAAAGCCAAGTGTGATAAACGTAGCGTGTGATCATTAACATGGCTAAATCCCTAAAATAGGTACACATGCCCACGAAAATTTGGCCGAATGTTTTTCTACCATCTCAGAGCTTTAGGAAAGCAACAGCTACACCTACTAACTCTTTGAACAACTCTTTGTTTTCCTTACACAAATTGTATGCAAGTGTCCTAAATAGCATTCAGACAAAATCTTGCATTCGCGAGATACAGTACATTCAATCTGAAGTCCAATATTATGGCAAAGCCTTAATTTAATAGACCAAAATAAATTAACCCTTTGTGGCCCAATGTTGCCCACAGGCAACAAAATGTTTTAGAGCTTATATTTCATATACTGCTAGTAGATATATATTCTTCGGATTTCATATGTCATGATCTGATTATGGACGACACATATCACAAGAAAAATCGAAAAAATTCAAAATTTTGGTAAAGTTATGAGCTTTTTAATACAGAGAAGAGAGCAAAAAATTGTACAGTACTATTTTGTGTATACAGTCCATATTATTTAAATCTCTTTGTATTTGAAATATACGAATTCTGCAGTGATAATTAATTTTGATTCTTGTAAAACAGAATATAGAGAATAATTTAAAATAATTTTTTCGTCGATTTTGCATTTGGTTTTCTTGATATTGGGCTTTTATTTTTTAGAAAGAATGTACTGTATCTCCCGAATGCAAGGATTTAGCGATGTCAAATTTTGTCCATGTCCTATCTAGGATAGTTGCATTAAATCTGTGAACAGAAAATTGTTCTATGATTGCGGAAAAAAATTCGGGGCTCAAAGGGTTAAGCTTGGCATAATTACAATAAACCCTTATTAATTTATAAAGGTTAAAAATTGCGATTAATAGAAGATTATTGCAGGTTCTGATACAAGCGCATTATATTTACATTTTTTTGCATGTTCAATCTCGAGTGTCTTTGAATTGTGTACAGTACATAAATCGTATTTGTGGTGTACATCTAATAACTGTCGAGCAGTATATTGACTCCTTACGCCAACATAAAAGTGACGGCGTCACAATTGCAGTCCGCCCAAACTCTGTTATCTGTGGACGTCGATTTGTCTCCCTCCAATTCGTAAACTTTCGGTTATTCCATTTTGGGGTTATCTTTATCGGCCATTCTGTCTTCTCCTTCCATTCGTTAGCAGGAGGAACGTTTTTCATTTTTTCTTCAGACGACGTTGTGTTGAGCTGAAAGGTACTTATTGTGAGAAAACATTAATTGTTATATTGTTAATTGTTTATAAACAATAACAAAACATAAATAGAACACAACAAAAACAATAATTTTATTTATTAAGATTCCTGCCTCGAACAAACTATATAAAAATGTTGTATTTAGAGGATTATTTGGAAAGTAAGTATGATTGTGCAAAGTCGAAAGAAAACAATAGCCCAGTCATGACAAGGGGAATCCGTCAAACATCATCGATTTTTGTTTGGGAGTCTCAAAATGCGAAATTATAAACAAAACAATTATTGTTGTTTTAAGGTTATGGCGGGACCATTGTCTTTTTATTTGTTTATATGGAAAAACTAAAATAATTAGTAATTTTTCGTTTATTTTAGTGATTGAGCACTTGCCTCAGGAGCTACGGGATCGTTTCACCGAAATGAGAGAATTGGATTTAACAGTGCAGAGTAAGTTCTGATAATAATTATTTCTTTTATTTTCTACAATTAACAAATTTTTTGCTTCCAGACAACATGGACTCTCTGGAGAAGAAAACCCGCGCCTTCTTTATGCAATGCAAACGTGGTGAATTGCAAGATGAAGCTGCTGACAGTGAGTACCAGAATCTGCGTAAGGAGTATTATAAAGTCCTCGAGGATGCCGATGAGAAAGTGACAATTGCTACACAAATCCACGAATTGGTCGAAAGATATTTACGACGCTTGGACAGTGAATTGTTCAAATTCAAGTGTGAATTGGAGGCAGATAATAATGGCATAACAGAGATACTGGAGAAACGTTCTTTAGAAATGGATGGCGGCAGCAGTGCTGCCACGGCACTACTAAGTGTTACCGGGTTAAATCAAAAAGAGAATAGATACTATGGTGGAATGAGTGCAGCCGTGGCACCCTCTGGCAGCAATAGTCATAGTGCTGTTATGGGTGGTGCTGGCATGGGTATGGGTGGTATTACAGTGCCAGCAACACCCACTGGCGCCACTAAGGATAATCGTTATCGAACACCAAAACCGGAGAAGCGACGTGATTCAACTTCAACTCTGCAAAATGCCGTGCCAGAAAAGAGAGCAAATTTGGGTAATAATCTTACTCCCGGAACACCACCAGTTGCTGTTGTAAGACCGATTACGCCTGGTATTGGAGCTGTCCTAAATGCTGCAGCTGGTTCGGTGGGAACACCTTCACCAGTTACATATAATCTTCAACAAATTGGTGGTTCGGCAACTACAGCTATAGCTGCAGCGGCCACACAAGCCATTGTGGCTACACAGCAAATGCAGCAGGGGCGTAGATCAGCCAGTATGAAGGCAAGCTATGAGGCCATACATGGGGCCGGTGGTGGTCCAACTGAGTTTTGGATTAGCCGAGACATTTCAAATCCCACAGCCACGGCATCGGCATTAGGATTGACAAATTCCTCCACTGAAAAGTCCAAAAAGAAATATACCTCAAAGTATGTATTTGAAACTTTAAGGATTAGGGTTTTTCTGTAATAAAAATAACTTATTTTTTTTTTCGTTGCAGGAAATTAAATTCCAGTTTATCACATAACCTTAGTACACCCAATGTCACCACATCCAGCACTGGTGCTCTTAGTTTGGCATCTTCCTCCTCATCGCTGAGTGTTGATTCTGTGGATATGCTGGCATCCTCCGCCCCCACTAATCTAAGTGTTCCATCACTCCTGCCAGCAGGACAACATGTTACTGCCTCGTCCAGTAATTCATTGACTGCAGCATCAAGCACATCGGCCACAGGTGGTAATAGACAGGCGCTAAGTTCAACATCCTCAACAGCTTCCGCCTCAACATCATCCTCCACCTCAACAGCCCTTACACCCGGCTCCAATATAACCCTTAATGAAAATGGCATGGTCGTCGAACAAACTCCCGATGGTGAATGGTCTTATGATCCAAATGAACCACGTTATTGTACATGTAATCAAGTCTCCTATGGTGATATGGTTGCTTGTGACAATGATGCATGTCCATATGAATGGTTCCATTATCCATGTGTTGGTATAACACAACCGCCGAAGGGTAAATGGTATTGTCCCAAATGTCAGGCGTCAATGCGTAGACGTGGTAATCGTAAAAATTGAATGAAAAGAGCCGTCTCTGCTCAGTATTTAATATATGTAAACGTTGGTGTGTTGTGCTGATTGCTGCCAGTATCCTGGAGTCATTTTTTCAATTATCTATTTGAAATTATATTTGTGAAATGGAATGAATAGAAATTCGGGATATAATAAAAATGAATGCGCACTGAAAATTTGGGAGTTTTTGTATTGAAATCGGCATGTGTGAATACCATTCAGACCTGCTTGATACGCTTCTTGATCTAGGGGTACACGCTTGTACCTTTGGACCTCTCTCTCTAGATCATGAAGATCTTTCCTGACGTGCCTGGGCGGGGGAGTTCTGTCCATAAGACTAAGGCAGGAATGTTCCCGACGATAGCACCCAAGCAAGTACTGCATCGACAACATATAATTGTGACGATGGGACCGGTAAGATCTCCTCATGAAGATGGTTCACAGGAGTCATGAGGAGACACCCTTTTGCAGTTCCAAGGGCAGCATTCTGGCAGGTCTGGATATTCTTCCACTTCGTATCACTAACATTCGCGAACCACATTGGCGCCGCATAGCTTACCACTGACCGACCTATTGCTTTATAAGAGGTCAACAAGCTTTCTTTGTCAGCGACCCAAGTGCTGCCAGGTAGAGACTTGAGGACCTTGTGCCTACTACTCAGCTTATCGCACAAAGCAGAGGCTTGCGCAGACGACATGAAAAGGCTGTCGAACGTTACACCCAGTATCTTGGGGTAGTTGGTGGTCAGAATAAATTCTCCATCGACCATTATGTTCAGTGGGAGCTTCATTTCAGCCGTCCATGTGGTGAACAGATATTCATATTTTCGTCAGATTTTGTGTAAATGGTGCATAAAAGCCCCTATATATCTTCCGATTTGCACGAAATTTGGCACAGGGTACTGAATTATGTCCAGAGTGATGTGTGATAAGTTTCGTGAAAATCGGTTCAGATATATATGTAGCTCCCATATATATTTTCGTCCGATTTTATGTAAATGGTGCACCAAAGTCCCTATATATCTTTCAATTTGCACGAAATTTTGCATAGTGTACTGAATTGAGTCTGGAATGATGTGTGCTAAGTTTTGTTGAAATCGGTTCAGATTTAGATATAGGTCCCATATATAGTTTCGTCCGATTTTAGGTAAATGGTGCACCAATATTTGTCCGATTGAGACAAAATTCTGCACAGAGTACTGAATTAGACCCAGATTGATGTATGCGAAGTTTTGTTGTTGGATAGCGCTCTGTGCTGCATAGCAAATGGTGGATGCCAAGGTTGCTCAAATACGTCCATTTATATATAGATCTTTTACATATTTTGCCCGATGATTGACATTCAATTTTTCATAAACTCCAGATTGGTATCCAAAGTGGAGAAGGGTATCATATAGTCGAAACCGTCCGACTTTTGAACTTTCCTTACCGGTTATAATAAGAATGACTGCGTTATACTGAAAAGATGCACATCTTGTCATCATTGTTGTTAAAACAATAAGTACATAATTTATTACGCCATCAATAATTGCTTTACAACTCATTGCTAATTTGCAATATTAAAAAAGCTCTAATATAGAATGTGTTAGATATTCTAAGCAATAAATCAGATGAGATTATAAGCTTTGGGTCCACATTTTGATGTCAGGTTAATTGGTCGTACCCACTGTTTTGTGAAAAATGTATAAAAAAATCCCATCCCTTGTATTCAAACATTTTTTAACTTTGGTCCTCGATTTAGTTTTTATTGATTTATTTAGTACTAATATATACAAATCATATCTCGTCAATTACGTATAACAATCATAAATATTTACTAAATTACAATATACATTGTTTTTGTTTTTCATTCTTTTAAAGAATGTCTCGTGTTTCAGTTTGAGGTACTTGTTGTTTATCAATAACACATTACAAAATAAAAAAATATAGCATCTAAAAATTCTGTTGTATACCATACAACATCATTGACATAAAAATCCCATTCCAAAATCCCCCCGCATCAGTCAGTATGTTTGACCTGACTGGTGTAAACATCGTAACCCAAACTAATAATATTGTCATAAAAGATTCGATATTTCAATGGTAGCCAATAGAAATTGACAAATTGTGCCACCGGCCATATCATCCATTCGGCGGCATATAACTTCCAGGCTTTTTGTTTCATTTCCTCGAATACCTCCTCTTTTGTTTTCTTCTCCAAAATACCCAATGTAATAAAGAATGCCGATATATAAACAGGGGAACAAATCAATTGATCCAATACGATTTTCTTCATAACCATTTGCAGAGAACGTCCAGGTAGACGAGAATCAAGTATTTGATACCAATAATGGCAAATAACACCCACTGTCATTCCCGATACGGCCATATGTGATGTTCGTGTACGATCCCATTTCTCCAGTTCACCACAATAGATTTCATATTGTTGCTCCAGCATGTCACCGGCACTACTTAGGCCCAGAGAAATCGATACATTGGTCAGCAACAGATATTTGTCACTGAACGCATGATGATGGAATTTCTTGATGACCCGCACCGCAGCATTCGATTTGGTAAATGTTCTCCAGGCTGTTCGTAGATAAACAAGCATCGTGAAACTAAAAGGATTGCAGTATATGGGGGGACGGTTTTATTGGCGCGATTGTATAATTGCTTCCGTATCACAAAATGTTGTCAATGTTTCGTTATTTTAGTTTTCCTCGATGTCTTTTTCAATGATTGCTTGCTTTCCTTCACCTCCCCTTTGAGGTGTGCAATCACTACGAACAGCCGCAAATTTAATTTATTGTTATTCTTATTTTTAATTCTTCTACTTATTCTATTTGAAATACAAATGATACTGGGAGACAAACGGGAATGTAAATATTATGATTGCCAAAAAGACTCACACGTGCCTTGGGGCGTTGTTACATCGGTAAAAGCTTTGCTAATTTTGTTCGGTGTTCATAATCAAAGCGAAAAGCGTCTGGCGTTTGGCGATATTCGTTTGTTTACTCAATAATTTATACAAATTATTAAAAAATGTTGCTCGTTTACCCAAAACTTTAGTAAAAGAGAGTGAATGGAGAGAGCAGATTTGTCAGTTGTGTTACTGAGTATTTGCAAATACTTACAAGTGGAATTTACTCAGTAAGAATTTTTTTGTACCATCAGCAGCTGATATTTAGTTTAGGTTGGGGATGTACGGCTGCTAATTGTAACCGTTCACTAATCATCATCCTTGATAACTGAAAACAAAAAAGGGAAAGGAAAAAATGGAAGAGAGGAAAAAAAGTTGGAGTTGGAGAGCCTAGCCAAGCTAAATTTTTGACAAAGCCTAGGATCTGATTGGGGTCTATTTTGGAGAAGAAAGCAAGGTTATAAATTTCATATCTTCCAAACTGTCTGTGTCTTCTGACACACAGTGAAGGACACCTACAGAATAGAGTGCTATTAGTCCTTTCTTAGAGCATTCCTCAACATTTCTATTCCACGTTAATTTGCGGTCAAGGATTGTACCATGTTTTTCTTAGTGGGGTTTGCGCCAAGACCATTGACGTGTGCCCAGTTAGAAATGAGGGGATGTCTGAGCTTACGAGAGCAGAATTCATATCCTCCTGCTTCACATTTTTAAAGGCTCTTTCAAGGAATGCAACCAAAGTGTAGCCGGAGGATTCCATATTTTTCTTGATACGTCTAACACCTCATGTAAGGCTGTATCCACTGGCTTGCCTTTGATGTATGTATGCTGGGAGTTGCTGAGAGGAAATCAGCTGTTTTGTAAACAAACACAAAATTATTTTATTTTAATTATTATCATTAAGCATTAAAATGGATAAAGAAAACGCAATTATTTATAATAACATCAATAAAAAATTCAGTTTTTTGTTTGGTTGTTTTAATCAGTTGTGCCGAAATCAAAATATTGGATTGTCGTATTAATGCTAAGAGTTTAGTTACATTTTATTTAATTTTTTCAATTGCTATCTTGTTTTTACTTTATAAAATTATCACATTTTTAACTGTGGTACAAACTTTTCTACGACACACTGTACTATCTACAAATACAACTCATCAAGCGGTTGTTAGCGTAAACACAAACAGCTGTTTTCGAATCATTCATAAATTTCACAATGTTTTGATTTGTGGAATCTACTGCCCTATTTGTTGTCCATCAAATCCTCTTCTCCAGTCCGCCGCATAAACATGGAAATATCTGAAACGATAAAATTTCGTGACATCTGTTCCCTGCTAAATCGTGTTTCCAAGACAAATAATAAAGATAAAAAATGTCGAATTATAAAGCAGTACTATGCATCGTTTTGTAAACATCGTGAACGATTTCGTGAGGAACAGAAGATGAAACCAGATATGCCGGAGGTAAATTAAATATAAACAAATTGTTTTCCAGATTAACAGCCTGTTTTTGTAAAATTCCAAACGAACGAATTCAAGTGACTTACGAATTCGTTCGTTTGGAATTTTACAAAAACAGGCTGTAACTACTACTTATATTCTATTACAGGATGGACGCAGTAGTTTCTATTGCATTCTGCGCTGCCTTATACCGAAATCAGATAATGCCCGCGAACCGTATGGCCTGCAAGTGCCTACACTGGGAAGAGTTTATATTAAAGTTCTACAATTGAGTTCGCAATGTAAGTTGGAAGTTTAAGAAATATTGTTTTAGAACAGTGGACTATTTGCATTTTATAAATCGAAATTAGTTGTAGGAAAGTTCCAGAGGAGGATATCGAGTTATGGAATAGTTAAAATTAGTATAAATACTATAAATGACAACATCCATATTGTTGCTTTGTAAGAAACTTATTCTCGTACTGGAATTTCAACATAATTCGACGGGGCAGGGAAAGAGGTCCAGCTCATTCACTATCTGCTGCTTTCGTAGAGATTATAAATATTTCTGTTTATTCCGAAGATTCTGAGGTTAAAATTGTCAATGTTTATATTCCGCCCTTTAATAGCAGTGCGCGCCAGTTATCGCTTAACCACAATCCTTCTGCTGCAAGGAGATAGCAACATTGATGATTTTGCGATATGGTTTTCAAAATATCCCAACGATCCAAATTTCCCTTCCATTAACGAGGATTCCTCTACCAGAGTCACTGCTTGGTGCTCGACCTTTCCAGACGTTGCCATAGCCAAGTTAAAACTCCTTCCGTATTCATATTGGTAAAACAATGCTGCTTCGAATTCTGACGATATTCTCATTCTGGGAAATTCTTCTAAAATGGACAGAATTCCTCTAAAGAGATAAAACTATTATCCTTCCAGGGACCGTCATACAAAAACAATATTCGTTTCGTTAAGAAATGTGGTCACACATTAAATACATTCCTTTTAATTGAACTGCTGTTATTTGACTAACCCAGCATTTTAAAACCGTCTGCGCAAGACACTGCTATTTGTGATAAACTGAGAAGTAGATATACCTTCAAGTCGTTGGCCGGCAGTACTGAATGCACTGACATCTTCGGGAATACCTTGCTATATCTTATGGACAGGCTTCCCAGCAACGGGTGTATTATGGAGAGATCTTCATGATCTAGGGAGAGCATAAATACACCAGCTAGGCATGCCAGGAAGGATCTTCATAATCTGGAGACAGAGGTCTAAAGGTACAAAAAATGTGTCTCCAGATCAACGGCCGTAGCAATCAGGAGTGTATTCACACAGATGCAGCTACCACGACAAACCAAAGTGGACTTGGCACAACCGAGATCTGGATGGTGTGGCCGACCTAATTCATATTGGGCAGAGTAGATGGCAGGGTGGATAATATCTGCCCGGCTTGGGCAGCTTCTAGACATCTTCATTTTCCCCATCTTCACTTTGTACACAACGGCTACAGGTCGCAGTCTTTTGAACCTGAAGTTAGAAGCATAACCAGATTAAAAGTAAATACAAAGCAGTATAAGCTTCTACAACAACCAGTTTCCGAATTTCATATGAACGCAAACCATACAAGTTCCAATCTTTCTGAATTTGGGAACAGAGGAGCCAGAACAATACCAGACAATGCTTAATCAATTCCCGATATTCTGACCCAATTTTAGTTTAGTTTCAATATGTTTACTATTAATACCTGCATAGATATTAAAAATCGGTTACGACAATAAGTAGAGTTTTGGCCAGGAAAATCGATTTCTGAATCCTTTTGAAGCTGATGACCTCTGACCTCTTACAAAACGATCGGTGTTTAATTATGTGGTGCCAAGTTTATATATTTTAAATGTATATAAATATATATATATATATATATATAAAATATTGTTTTTACTTGTATATGTTTGTATTATATACACATCTGCATTTTGAATTTATTTATTTGCATATTTCATTTATTTTCTAGCAAAAGAAGCTGAATTATTGGAAGCTCGAAATTTTTGTAGCATTCGTGGAGACTACGCGGAGAGAGTTTATAGAATTTTAAAACCAAGATGTTCAAATAGTCCCAGTGATTTGACGCTAAAAGAAGTGCATGATATGCTGGATAGTGTGGCAAGTGAAAATTTATTGAGTAAGTTCACCAAAGATTCAAATTTTTTGTATTCTCATTATTTAAATATTAAATCCGTTTTTATTTATGTTACAGATACAGAAAATGTCTTGACAAAACTTTCACAAGTAGCCTCAGCCGAAGAACAAATGTGGTTTGTTCGCTTGCTACTCAAATCCATGCAGTTGTCAATTGCCGAGCAACGTATTTTTGATCTTCTACACGAGCAAGCTAAAGCCATGTATCAAGCTTGTGCAAATCTATCAAAATTATGTTGTCATTTGGCTGACAATAAATTCACATTAGTTAATGGGAATTTACCACAATTGGGAAATGGTCCGGCGCCATTGGTTGTAGATATAACACCATTTGAACACATACGACCCCAATTGTGTGAGGTGTTTCCCGGTAATATGGAACAAATTATGGCATCCGACGTCCTTTATATGGAAACAAAAATGGATGGTGAACGTTTTCAGTTGCATTATAAAGATGGTCTCTTTAAATATATTTCACGTAATGGTATCGATTATACAAATAGTTTTGGTTCCAGCTATGATGATGAGAATAAACTGACAATGAAACTAAAACATTTGCTGCCAATCGATATGCAATCGATCATCTTGGATGGTGAAATGATGATATGGGATAGATTAAATCAAAAATATCGTGAAAAGGGTGAAAATACCGATGTAAAACATTTAAAAGAAGATCGCAATTGGCAGCCCTGCTTTGTGGTGTATGATTTGTTATATTGGAATGGACAGAATCTGTTGGGTATACCATATATCCAGCGTATGTATAAATTGCGTAATTTGCTAAGGGAACAGGAAGGTGTATTGCAGCTGATGAAAAGTGAAAAAATTCTAAGTGTTGAAGATTTTCGTGCGAAATTTCAACAAGCCTTGGATCAACATGCTGAAGGTGTGGTCTTGAAGAAACAGAATGCAGTATATCGTCCGGGGTGTCGTAATGGAGGCGGGTGGTATAAGGTGAAAGCGGATGTAAGTAGACGATTTAAATGTTTTACTGTTTTACTTTAAAAATCCTGATGATCTATGAAGAAATATTCATTAAAAATCCACGCCTCAGTAGCTGATGGTCTGTGAAGAAATATTCTTTAAAAATCCATGCCTCAGTAGCTGATGGTCTATGAAGAAATATTCTTTAAAAATCCACGCCTCAGTAGCTGATGGTCTATGAAGAAATATTCTTTAAAAATCCACGCCTCAGTAGCTGATGGTCTATGAAGAAATATTCTTTAAAAATCCACGCCTCAGTAGCTGATGGTCTGTCAAGAAATATTCTTTAAAAATCCACGCCTTAGTAGCTGATGGTCTGTGTAGAAATATTCTTTAAAAATCCACTCCTCAGTAGCTGATGGTCTGTGAAGAAATATTCTTTAAAAATCCACGCCTCAGTAGCTGATGGTCTGTGTAGAAATATTCTTTAAAAATCCACTCCTCAGTAGCTGATGATCTGTGAAGAAATATTCTTTAAAAATCAACGCCTATGAAGCTGATGGTCTGTGTAGAAATATTCTTTAAAAATCCACGCCTCAGTAGCTGATGGTCTGTGAAGAAATATTCTTTAAAAATCCATGCCTCAGTAGCTGATGGTCCGTGAAGAAATATTCTTTAAAAATCCACGCTGTGAAGAAATATTCTTTAAAAATCCACGCCTCAGTAGCTCATGGTCTGTGAAGAAATATTCTTTAAAAATCCACGCCTCAGTAGCTGATGGTCTGTGAAGAAATATTCTTTAAAAATCCACGCCTCAGTAGCTGATGGTCTGTGAAGAAATATTCTTTAAAAATCCACGCCTCAGTAGCTGATGGTCTGTGAAGAAATATTCTTTAAAAATCCACGCCTCAGTAGCTGATGGTCTGTGAAGAAATATTCTTTAAAAATCCACGCCTCAGTAGCTGATAGTCTGTGAAGAAATATTCTTTAAAAATCCACGCCTCAGTAGCTGATGGTCTGTGAAGAAATATTCTTTAAAAATCCACGCCTCAGTAGCTGATGGTCTGTGAAGAAATATTCTTTAAAAATCCACGCCTCAGTAGCTGATGGTCTGTGAAGAAATATTCTTTAAAAATCCACGCCTCAGTAGCTGATGGTCTGTGAAGAAATATTCTTTAAAAATCCACGACTCAGTAGCAGATGGTATGTGAAGAAATATTCTAAAAACTCCACGCGTCAGTAGCTGATGTTCTGCGAAGAAATATTCTTTAAAAATCCACGCCTCAGTAGATGATGGTCTGTGAAGAAATACTCTTTAAAAATCGACGCCTCAGTAGCTAATGGTCTGTGAAGAAATATTCTTTAAAAATCCACGACTCAGTAGCTGATGGTCTGTGAAGAAATACTCTTTAAAAATCCACGCCTCAGTAGCTGATGTTCTGTGAAGAAATATTCTTTAAAAATCTACGCCTCAGTAGCTGATGGTCTGTGAAGAAATATTCTCAGTAGCTGATGGTCTGTGAAGAAATATTCTTTAAAAATCCACGCCTCAGTAGCTGATGGTCTGTGAAGAAATATTCTTTAAAAATCCACGCCTCAGTAGCTGATGGTCTGTGAAGAAATATTCTTTCAAAATCCACGCCTCAGTAGCTGATGGTCTGTGAAGAAATATTCTTTAAAAATCGACGCCTCAGTAGCTGATGGTCTGTGAAGAAATATTCTTTAAAAATCCACGCCTCAGTAGCTGATGGTCTGTGAAGAAATATTCTTTAAAAATCCACGCCTCAGTAGCTGATGGTCTGTGAAGAAATATTCTTTAAAAATCCACGCCTCAGTAGCTGATGGTCTGTGAAGAAATATTCTTTAAAAATCCACGCCTCAGTAGCTGATGGTCTGTGAAGAAATATTCTTTAAAAATCCACGCCTCAGTAGCTGATGGTCTGTGAAGAAATATTCTTTAAAAATTCACGCCTCAGTAGCTGATGGTCTGTGAAGAAATATTCTTTAAAAATCCACGCATCAGTAGCTGATGGTCTGTGAAGAAATATTCTTTAAAAATCCACGCCCCAGTAGCTGATGGTCTGTGAAGAAATATTCTTTAAAAATCCACGCCTCAGTAGCTGATGGTCTGTGAAGAAATATTCTTTAAAAATCCACGCCTCAGTAGCTGATGTTCTGTGAAGAAATATTCTTTAAAAATTGACGCCTCAGTAGCTGATGGTCTGTGAAGAAATATTCTTTAAAAATCCACGACTCAGTAGCTGATGGTCTGTGAAGAAATATTCTTTAAAAATTGACGCCTCAGTAGCTGATGGTCTGTGAAGAAATATTCTTTAAAAATCCACGACTCAGTAGCTGATGGTCTGTGAAGAAGTATTCTTTAAAAATCTACGGCTCAGTAGCTGATGGTCTGTGAAGAAATATTCTTTAAAAATCGACGCCTCAGTAGCTAATGGTCTGTGAAGAAATATTCTTTAAAAATCCACGCCTCAGTAGCTGATGTTCTGTGAAGAAATATTCTTTAAAAATCTACGCCTCAGTAGCTGATGGTCTGTGAAGAAATATTCTTTAAAAATCCACGCCTCAGTAGCTGATGGTCTGTGAAGAAATATCCTTTAAAAATCGACGCCTCAGTAGCTAATGGTCTGTGAAGAAATATTCTTTAAAAATCCACGACTCAGTAGCAGATGGTATGTGAAGAAATATTCTTTAAAAATCCACGCCTCAGTAGCTGATGGTCTGTGAAGAAATATTCTTTAAAAATCCACGCCTCAGTAGCTGATGTTCTGTGAAGAAATATCCTTTAAAACTCCACGCCTCAGTAGCTGATGGTCTGTGAAGAAATATTCTTTAAAAATCCACGCCCCAGTAGCTGATGATCTGTGAAGAAATATTCTTTAAAAATCCACGCCTCAGTAGCTGATGGTCTGTGAAGAAATATTCTTTAAAAATCCACGCATCAGTAGCTGATGGTCTGTGAAGAAATATTCTTTAAAAATCCACGCCCCAGTAGCTGATGATCTGTGAAGAAATATTCTTTAAAAATCCACGCCTCAGTAGCTGATGGTCTGTGAAGAAATATTCTTTAAAAATCCACGCCTCAGTAGCTGATGGTCTGTGAAGAAATATCCTTTAAAAATCGACGCCTCAGTAGCTAATGGTCTGTGAAGAAATATTCTTTAAAAATCCACGACTCAGTAGCAGATGGTATGTGAAGAAATATTCTTTAAAAATCCACGCGTCAGTAGCTGATGGTCTGTGAAGAAATATTCTTTAAAAATCCACGCCCCAGTAGCTGATGATCTGTGAAGAAATATTCTTTAAAAATCCACGCCTCAGTAGCTGATGGTCTGTGAAGAAATATTCTTTAAAAATCCACGCCTCAGTAGCTGATGGTCTGTGAAGAAATATTCTTTAAAAATCCACGCCTCAGTAGCTGATGGTCTGTGAAGAAATATTCTTTAAAAATCGACGCCTCAGTAGCTAATGGTCTGTGAAGAAATATTCTTTAAAAATCCACGCCTCAGTAGCTGATGTTCTGTGAAGAAATATTCTTTAAAAATCTACGCCTCAGTAGCTGATGTTCTGTGAAGAAATATTCTTTAAAAATCTACGCCTCAGTAGCTGATGGTCTGTGAAGAAATATTCTTTAAAAATCCACGCCTCAGTAACTGATGTTCTGTGAAGAAATATTCTTTAAAAATCCACGCCTCAGTAGCTGATGTTCTGTGAAGAAATATTCTTTAAAAATCCACGCCTCAGTAGCTGATGGTCTGTGAAGAAATATTCTTTAAAAATCGACGCCTCAGTAGCTAATGGTCTGTGAAAAAATATTCTTTAAAAATCCACGACTCAGTAGCAGATGGTATGTGAAGAAATATTCTTTAAAACTCCACGCGTCAGTAGCTGATGTTCTGCGAAGAAATATTCTTTAAAAATCCACGCCTCAGTAGATGATGGTCTGTGAAGAAATACTCTTTAAAAATCCACGCCTCAGTAGCTGATGTTCTGTGAAGAAATATTCTTTAAAAATCCACGCCTCAGTAGCTGATGTTCTGTGAAGAAATATTCTTTAAAAATCCACGCCTCAGTAGCTGATGGTCTGTGAAGAAATATTCTTTAAAAATCCACGCCTCAGTAGCTGATGGTCTGTGAGGAAATATTCTTTAAAAATCCACGCCTCAGTAGCTGATGGTCTGTGAAGAAATATTCTTTAAAAATCCACGCCTCAGTAGCTGATGGTCTGTGAAGAAATATTCTTTAAAAATCCACGCCTCAGTAGCTGATGGTCTGTGAAGAAATATTCTTTAAAAATCCACGCCTCAGTAGCTGATGGTCTGTGAAGAAATATTCTTTAAAAATCCACGCCTCAGTAGCTGATGGTCTGTGAAGAAATATTCTTTAAAAATCCACGCCTCAGTAGCTGATGGTCTGTGAAGAAATATTCTTTAAAAATCCACGCCTCAGTAGCTGATGGTCTGTGAAGAAATATTCTTTAAAAATCCACGCCTCAGTAGCTGATGGTCTGTGAAGAAATATTCTTTAAAAATCCACGCCTCAGTAGCTGATGGTCTGTGAAGAAATATTCTTTAAAAATCCACGCCTCAGTAACTGATGGTCTGTGAAGAAATATTCTTTAAAAATCCACGCCTCAGTAGCTGATGGTCTGTGAAGAAATATTCTTTAAAAATCCACGCCTCAGTAGCTGATGGTCTGTGAAGAAATATTCTTTAAAAATCCACGCCTCAGTAGCTGATGGTCTGTGAAGAAATATTCTTTAAAAATCCACGCCTCAGTAGCTGATGGTCTGTGAAGAAATATTCTTTAAAAATCCACGCCTCAGTAGCTGATGGTCTGTGAAGAAATATTCTTTAAAAATCCACGCCTCAGTAGCTGATTGTCTCTCAACAAATATCCCATTTTTCTTTTGATCTACTAATTTTTTTGAATTTATTTCTTTCCAGTACATTGATGGTTTGACAACTGAATTCGATCTGCTGGTAATTGGAGGCTTCTACAATCGTTCCCGAACCTTTGTTGAGTCATTTCTGGTGGGAGTACTAAAATACATTTCCCATCAACAATTCGAAGTATATTCGGTGGGCAAAGTTAGCAACTGCACGCAACAACGTGTTCTACTCAATAATACCCTGAAGAGCCATTGGCATTTGTTGTCACAGGAACAACCACCAATATGGTATCATTATCGTCACACAAGTGCTGAGGGCCGGCCAGATGTTTGGATTGAACCGAGAAATTCGGTAATTCTACAAATTAAGGCTACCGATTTAAATCCATCCGGAGCCTTTGCCCTGAATATGTGCTTGCATTTTCCTCGCATTCAAATGTGGCGTAATGATAAGGCATGGCATGAATGTCTTTCTCTCGAAGAGTATCAACAGCTAAAATCAAATTCCAATGGTGGAGGTGGTATAAAGAAAATTGTTAAGAGAAATGTTAGCCTGGAAGATTTTATTGGTAATCAAAGTAAGAGGAGAAAGATGACACCAGCAGAGAAAAGGAAATTGGGTTTGCTGACCTATGAGAAGCAGTTTGATCCGAGTAATGTAAGTTGATACATAAAATATTTTAAATTATTTTTATTTTAAGTTTTAATTATAATTTCAGGTTGAAAGAACTTCACAGTTATTCGAAGGCTTCAGTGTTTGCATATTAAGTGCCGCCCTGAACAGACGTTACACCGCACAATACCTCAAATCGTTGGTAGTTCAAAATGGTGGCACAATTGTGGAAAATCCTTTACCCAATAATCCCAGTTGCATTGTTGTGGCCGGTGATATTTCGATACGTGTCCAAGCCCTCTGTAAATCACAAAAATATGACATAGTCAGCATGGATTGGTTGTTGCGGGCATGTGAAAAACAACGCATAAAGATTACACCATTAGATTTTATTTGTACCACCGCCGAAGTTAAAGAGAAATTTGCCGAAGTGTTCGATAAATATGGTGATCACTATACGGAATTTGTTCGATCAAAACATTTGAAGCGTATATGTGATGCCATGATTGTCGATGATGTACCTGATTTAGATGACGAAGCTTTAAATGAGCTGGAGAATTTAATATACCCGTTGAAGAACTTTAATTTCTTTCGTAATAAAAATGCCTATTTTTATAGTATAGAGCCAGATTCCATACATGCCCGATTGAATTTTCAATGGCATGGTGGTAATGTTATTGATGATCGTAATTTAGAAGAAGCCGAATTGAATCCTGATGAAATTTTATCGAAAATATCTTATATATTTATAAATCTTTTACAATTTGATAAAGGAGAATTTTTGCCATGGTTACATGAAAGATTTAGTGCCCAGCATTTGAGCCATATACAAATTGTTAGCATTCGTTGGATTTTAGATTCGCACAAGGCAAGAATGTTGCAAGATATTAAGGAATATACATGGCATGATTTTGATTAATTTAGGGATTTATATTATACTACTAGGTTTATTAATATCTTAACAGGAATTATATATACATTTATACATAATTTGTTATAAATCTTCTTGACGATTTTTTATAAGATTTATTTGTTGTATTTTTCAATTATTATATACTATAGATTTAAATGTTTGTGAGTGTCTTTTAATATATAAAAATAAATAATGTAAAACACTATGTATAAGATTTTTTATTGAGAGGGTAAATTATAAGTTCGGTGTCTGAACATTCAAATATTACCCTTTAAAAATCCACGCCTATGAAGCTGATGGTCTATAAAGAAATATTCTTTTAAAAGTCCACGCCTATGAAGCTTATGGTCTGTGAAGAAATATTCTTTAATAAAAAAACCCACGCCTATGAAGCTGATGGTCTGTGAAGAAATATTCTTTAATAAAAAAACCCACGCCTCTGTAGCTGATGGTCTGTGAAGAAATATTCTTTAAAAATCCACGCCTATGAAGGTGATGGTCTGTGAAGAAATATTCTTTAAAAATCCACGCCTATGACGGTGATGGTCTGTGAAGAAATATTCTTTAAAAATCCACGCCTATGAAGCTGATGGTCTCTCAAGAAGTAACCTTTAAAAATCCAAGTTTTTTCTTTGCAAATTATTTATTTACATATATACATATTTACATAGCATTATTATGTATGTACATTAAAAAAATTAAAATTCTGAACCTAATAGCTCATCAAACTATCAACCTCGTTATTGTGTATTTTAATTTTCTCCGCAAATGCCGAGGTCTCATTGTTCACCAATTGTTCTCCATTCAGCTGGGCAGTTGCAATAGATTGATGGGTCTGTTGTGTCAGTTTGGCGATTTCATTCTTTGCCTCCACAGCCAATGCATTAATGTCATCACCAATATCCGCCACCACGGCCATTAAATAGGGTTTCTTTTTCAAATAATCATCGAGGGATTTTTTGAAATTTTCAAAAACTTCATCAGAAGATTTTTCCCAATTAACGAATTGCTGATCGGTGTCATTTCTCGATTCGATTAATTGCGTTTGAATATTCTGTTGAGTTTCACTAAAATCGGCAGCTAATTTGGAATTCTTTTCATTGGCCGCATAACGTTTGGTTTGTACATCATTATGGCACTGGGTGGCCTTGTAGTGTTCCTCACAAATAAATCCGTAGTAGTTTTCATCACATTTTTCATCGTTCCATTTGAAATCGGCTTTAACACTTATTTCGGTACAGTGCTCGTTGCCTTTGTAATTGTTGGGTTCACCTTTATTCCAATTGCTGTAGGCAATGGGTGAGCCAGTGGCTACGGAGTACCATGTACGAGTTTTATCTTTCTTGGAGTTGAATTCGTCGTGGTGACCGATCCACAAGTCTGGAGATTTTCCTTTTTGGAATAAATAATAATTCAAAATACTTTTATTATTTTTCAGCTATTTTATATATCGGCTGGATCTTACCAAAATGAATTTTAATTAAATCAATTATGGCATTATTTTTCACTTCATTATCGATCATCACCAATTGCAAGCCACGTCGTGAACATTGATCCATGGCCTGGAACCAGGTGTACTAAAAATAAATAAAAAAAAAAACATTTCTTTAATCACTTGTTTTGCAAAAAAAAAAAAAAAAACAATTTTTTTTGAGAATCCTTACACTGGCCGATCCTTCAATTAAATAATTACGTCCATCACTGCCCGTATACCAATCGGCAGCTGTTGCCAATGGCCAAAATCCAATGGCAAAAATTGTGAAACAAACTGCAAATTTTCCAGCCATCCGGTTTAGTTAAAAGTTGTCTTGAAACTATTCACAAATAATTTGAAAATTCTTATATTTATATTAATATTGAAATCTAAATATAAAATTTTAATGAGGAATATCTCCGTTTTTTATTGGCCAATCTAAATCAGATATTATGGCTTCTTTTGGTAAATAGATAATACCCGCAAATATTTGTATTACTTTCTATAATGAAATTGGAGGAAAATAAATTTCGGTTCTTTTATATCATATCTATGACAATTTATGTGTGTCGTTAAATAATAATTACCGATTATCATGCGAATGGGTGAATCTTCCGATAACGAATATATGACCACGTACTACAAAGTGATTCATGAAGAATGTTCTATTTATTTGGGGGGAAAATTTAACAAGTCATTGTAAACGTCACATTTCACTTCCGATATTTAGGAAGTCCAAAGTCATAATGGAAATGACCAATAAGGGAAGTACGTTTTATTGGCTTTTACAGATCTGATAATCTTACAAATTTTTACAGAATATTTCAATACATGCTGTCAGCTTCATGGACGTGGATTTTTAAAGAATATTTCTTCACAGACCATCAGCTTCATAGGCGTGGATTTTTAAAGAATATTTCTTCACATACCATCAGCTTCTTAGGCGTGGATTTTTAAAGAATATTTCTTCACAGACCATCAGCTTCTTAGGCGGGGATTTTTAAAGAATATTTCTTCACAGACCATCAGCTTCTTAGGCGTGGATTTTTAAAGAATATTTCTTCACAGACCATCAGCTTCTTAGGCGTGGATTTTTAAAGAATATTTCTTCACAGACCATCAGCTTCTTAGGCGTGGATTTTTAAAGAATATTTCTTCACAGATCATCAGCTTCATAGGCGTGGATTTTTAAAGAATATTTCTTCACAGACCATCAGCTTCTTAGGCGTGGATTTTTAAAGAATATTTCTTCACAGACCATTAGCTTCATAGGCGTGGATTTTTAAAGAATATTTCTTCACAGACCATCAGCTTCATAGGCGTGGATTTTTAAAGAATATTTCTTCACAGACCATCAGCTTCATAGGCGTGGATTTTTAAAGAATATTTCTTCACAGACCATCAGATTTTTAAAGAATATTTCTTCACAGACCATCAGCTTCATAGGCGTGGATTTTTAAAGAATATTTCTTCACAGACCATCAGCTTCATAGGCGTGGATTTTTAAAGAATATTTCTTCACAGACCATCAGCTTCATAGGCGTGGATTTTTAAAGAATATTTCTTCACAGACCATCAGCTTCATAGGCGTGGATTTTTAAAGAATATTTCTTCACAGACCATCAGCTTCATAGGCGTGGATTTTTAAAGAATATTTCTTCACAGACCATCAGCTTCATAGGCGTGGATTTTTAAAGAATATTTCTTCACAGACCATCAGCTTCATAGGCGTGGATTTTTAAAGAATATTTCTTCACAGACCATCAGCTTCATAGGCGTGGATTTTTAAAGAATATTTCTTCACAGACCATCAGCTTCATAGGCGTGGATTTTTAAAGAATATTTCTTCACAGACCATCAGCTTCATAGGCGTGGATTTTTAAAGAATATTTCTTCACAGACCATCAGCTTCATAGGCGTGGATTTTTAAAGAATATTTCTTCACAGACCATCAGCTTCATAGGCGTGGATTTTTAAAGAATATTTCTTCACAGACCATCAGCTTCATAGGCGTGGATTTTTAAAGAATATTTCTTCACAGACCATCAGCTTCATAGGCGTGGATTTTTAAAGAATATTTCTTCACAGACCATCAGCTTCATAGGCGTGGATTTTTAAAGAATATTTCTTCACAGACCATCAGCTTCATAGGCGTGGATTTTTAAAGAATATTTCTTCACAGACCATCAGCTTCATAGGCGTGGATTTTTAAAGAATATTTCTTCACAGACCATCAGCTTCATAGGCGTGGATTTTTAAAGAATATTTCTTCACAGACCATCAGCTTCATAGGCGTGGATTTTTAAAGAATATTTTTAAAGAATATTTCTTCACAGACCATCAGCTTCATAGGCGTGGATTTTTAAAGAATATTTCTTCACAGACCATCAGCTTCATAGGCGTGGATTTTTAAAGAATATTTCTTCACAGACCATCAGATTTTTAAAGAATATTTCTTCACAGACCATCAGCTTCATAGGCGTGGATTTTTAAAGAATATTTCTTCACAGACCATCAGATTTTTAAAGAATATTTCTTCACAGACCATCAGCTTCATAGGCATAGGCGTGGATTTTTAAAGAATATTTCTTCACAGACCATCAGATTTTTAAAGAATATTTCTTCACAGACCATCAGCTTCATAGGCGTGGATTTTTAAAGAATATTTCTTCACAGACCATCAGCTTCATAGGCGTGGATTTTTAAAGAATATTTCTTCACAGACCATCAGATTTTTAAAGAACATTTCTTCACAGACCATCAGCTTCATAGGCGTGGATTTTTAAAGAATATTTCTTCACAGACCATCAGATTTTTAAAGAACATTTCTTCACAGACCATCAGCTTCATAGGCGTGGATTTTTAAAGAATATTTCTTCACAGACCATCAGATTTTTAAAGAACATTTCTTCACAGACCATCAGCTTCATAGGCGTGGATTTTTAAAGAATATTTCTTCACAGACCATCAGATTTTTAAAGAACATTTCTTCACAGACCATCAGCTTCATAGGCGTGGATTTTTAAAGAATATTTCTTCACAGACCATCAGATTTTTAAAGAACATTTCTTCACAGACCATCAGCTTCATAGGCGTGGATTTTTAAAGAATATTTCTTCACAGACCATCAGATTTTTAAAGAACATTTCTTCACAGACCATCAGCTTCATAGGCGTGGATTTTTAAAGAATATTTCTTCACAGACCATCAGATTTTTAAAGAACATTTCTTCACAGACCATCAGCTTCATAGGCGTGGATTTTTAAAGAATATTTCTTCACAGACCATCAGATTTTTCTTTAAAAATCCATGCCTATAAATATGCTAATCCTTGAAGACATATTATTCTTATAAATCTTATAGGCCCCCACAAATTTGTTTTAAAAAAAATCACTTCTAATCTTATCAAATTACACCTACGTCAGTTCTTCTGCTCCCTATACGTATATATTTTTATATTGTGTAAATAATGGGTAGGGTTTGATGACAAGTTTCCAAACCCTAAAGTGATTGCCAGTGATTTTCAACAAATTACTCATAAAATGTCAGAAGAGATAAGATCGGTTAATTTGATACCCGCCATATAAATAAATTGTTTTTAAATTAATTGGCGAATAGTTTGAAGTGCCGTGTATAAAATATGCAGACATTCAACAAGTTTCCGATTGCCTTTCTTGTCTTATTCATTGGCGGATTTTTTCGATTATCTTTAGCGGCCAATTGGTATACGACCTATGATGATCGGCGATATTTTATAGAGGATTCACCAAAGGTATGATTTATGGGTTATGAAGAGTTTGCAGGGTGACTAATTTATAATATTGATATTTTTTTAGTATAACTGGCTTCAAGCCCTCGATGAATGTTCCCGACGAGGTTTACAACTTTTTGTCATTGATGATCCCTCAAAAAATACAGCCTTTGTAAATTTTCTCAAATTATTGTATGGTAAGCGGACCTTATTTTGTTGGGCCAAAAATATTTTCTATAATATTTTTAACATCTAGGAAAACCTCTTGATTTGTGGATTGGTCATCATGATGAGTTCAATAACGTTGCAAATCGCACCTGGTACTCAGCAGCTTCTGGCGAGGCCATAAATTATGGTAACTGGGCTAAAGGAGAACCAAATAATCGCTTTGGAGAACATTGCGGACAATTATATAGAAAATCGGATTTTCAATGGAATGATGAAGACTGCGATGATCATTATTTTGGTTATATTTGTGAGGAGCACTATTTAAGTGGCAAATGTCACAAGGATTTGGAGCAACGGCACAATGCTACAAATGAAGAAAACCTAAAGCTCCTCACAGCTTTTAATGCAACTCAAAGTAAGGTTCGACAGTATTTACAGAATACCCGGAATGAAACAATGAAAATCTTGGAGTTATGGCAAAAATCTTTGGAGGATATTTTTGACCAGTTCAAAAATTCTCTTAATGATATAATTCGGCAGAAGCCTCACCTGCAGGCAATTGTTAGTGATGTAGGTCCAGCCATTAATGACTTTGTTCTTGAGGCTAAGGAAGGACTAAAAATGTTATCCGCTGAAACGAGGCAATCAATTGAAGAAACTCAAACGAAATCTGAGGATTTAGTGAATTCAAAATTTGGCAACAAACTCCTAACACATAAGAGGGAAATAAATAGATTGACGGTCCATAATATACCAGATAAAGTCTAAAAAAATAAAAATATTTTTTCAAACCCCTTCATTGTTATATGAATTTATTTTTTAACAAAGAATCCTTCGCATTTTTAAAGAATAATTTTAGGAGGATATCAGATTTAAAATCTTAGATTTTAAACAATATTTCTTCAAGAGTTTATAGGTACGGATTTTTAAAGAATATTTTTTACTGGATAGCAGATGTAAAGGCGCAAATTTGTAAAGAATATTTCTCAAATGGATAGTAGATTTATAGGCGTGGATTTTTAAAGAATATTTCTTCCATTGATAGCAGATTTATAGGCGTGGATTTTTAAAGAATATTTCTTCCATGATAGCAGATTTATAGCAGATTTATAGGCGTGGATTTTTAAAGAATATTTCTTCCATTGATAGCAGATTTATAGGCGTGGATTTTTAAAGAATATTTCTTCCATTGATAGCAGATTTATAGCCGTGGATTTTTAAAGAATATTTCTTACATTGATAGCAGATTTATAGGCGTGGATTTTTAAAGAATATTTCTTCCATTGATAGCAGATTTATAGGCGTGGATTTTTAAAGAATATTTCTTCCATTGATAGCAGATTTATAGGCGTGGATTTTTAAAGAATATTTCTTCCATTGATAGCAGATTTATA